TGCCTCAATGAGCCCACGGTCTTTGGATAGGCGGTGCTTAGGTAAGTTCGGGCGAGCACACTGATATGACTTCCTCTTTCTGCGCTGTGCCATTGGGAGATGTGACTTTGATTTATACCCTCCGCTAGGGTCGCTTTAAAACCATCTGCCCATGGGGATGCGTGTTCCGGAACGGGTTTTGTTTGTGGCTGCCCTCCTGGGACACACGCGTAACTCATCGCTGCGCCCGTGAGATTGGGGTTCAAGGGGCGCGCGAGCTCAGCCACCTGCAACGGCGACGCCAATCAAGAAGAGGCTGCGCTTTGAGCTCGAAGATGCACTTGAGAAGGAGTGCTTGGAACAAGATTGTGCCGGCTTTACTGTGCAGCCCCGTGATGGTGCGGTTGTGGTGGTGGTGGTGGTGGTGGTGGTGGTGGTGATGGTGGTGGTAGCAACTTCACAAGGTGAAAGAACTGCAGGAGGGGTCTGGGCGAGAAATTGCTACAGGGTCTTCAGGAAACTTGAGCCGCGAGGCATGAGTTTGTGCCATTTGCGTTGTGCAATAGGACCGGATTCTTTGAGGGGTGTGTGGCGAAGCGGCGCTGTTGAATGTTAAGGGCCATTCCCGTCACACGCAATGGCACACTGCCTCTGGCCAAGACATGGAGAAGGCCAAGTCAACTCAACACCTAGAGTTGGGTTCCCTGTGTTGCGCAGCTGTGTGCCAGTAGGGATTGATTTGATGCAAGTTACAGGCATAGATGTTGCTGGCGATGCAAGTGCGACCCCAGCCCTCTACCCCGCGCAAAGCCAAGGGTCTGGTGTGCCATGCGGGATCGGACGCTTTGAGGGGTTTGGCGAAGGAGCGTTGAATGTTGAGGCCCACTCCCGTCACAGAACGCAACGGCAGACTGCCTCTGGCCAAGATGTTGAGAAGGTTAAGTCAACTAACACATGAGAGTTGGGTTCCTTGTGTTGTTCAGCTGTGTGGCAGTAGGATTTGGTTTGATAGAAGTTATAGGCTTAGATGTTGCTGACGATGCAAGGCGCTGTTGAATGTTAAGGGCCACTCCCGTCACACGCAATGGCCCACTGCCCCTGGCCAAGACATTGGGAAGGCCAAGTCAACTCAATACCTAGAGTTGGGTTCCCTGTGTTGTTGAGCTGTGCGCCAGTAGGGATTGATTTGATGGAAGTTACAGGCGTAGATGTTGCTGGCGATGCAAGTGCAACCCGCACAAAGCCAAGGGTCTGGTGTGCCACGGGGGACCGGATGCTTTGAGAGGTCTGGCGAAGGGGAGCTGTTGAATGCTGAGGCCCACTCCCGTCACAGAACGCAATGGCACACTGCCTCTGGCCAAGATGTTGAGAAGGTTAAGTCAACTAACACATGAGAGTTGGGATCCTTGTGTTGTTCAGCTGTGTGCCAGTAGGATTTGGTTTGATAGAAGTTATAGGCTTAGATGTTGCTGACGATGCAAGGCGCTGTTGAATGTTAAGGGCCACTCCCGTCACACGCAATGGCCCACTGCCCCTGGCCAAGACATTGGAAGGCTAAGTCAACTCAATACCTAGAGTTGGGTTCCCCGTGTTGTTGAGCTGTGCGCCAGTAGGGATTGATTTGATGGAAGTTACAGGCGTAGATGTTGCTGGCGACGCAAGTGCAACCCGCACAAAGCCAAGGGTCTGGTGTGCCACGGGGGACCGGATGCTTTGAGAGGTCTGGCGAAGGGGAGCTGTTGAATGCTGAGGCCCACTCCCGTCACAGAACGCAATGGCACACTGCCTCTGGCCAAGATAATGACAAGGTTAATCAAACACATCGGATTTCGGATCCTTGTGTTTTTCAGCTGTGTGCTAGCAGGATTTGATTTGATTTGTGCCAGCGCAAGCCTGCGCGTGCCACACAAATCCACACAAGCAGCCGTGCTGGCCAGGGCCACTCTGTGGAGCTCAATCGCACCTCGTTTAGACCTCGTTAAGACCTCGTTTAGACCTCGTTAAATTGGCTAGCTAGAACACCTTTTTCGCAAGGTTTCGTGGCAGGTGCAGCACTTTCGCAAGGTCAGGTGCAGGTTTCGTGACAGGCGCAGTACTTCCAGAAGGCCAGGCGCAGGTCCTGTGGCAAAGAGACAGCGCAAGCGAAAGAGAAAAGAAATAGTAAGGGAAAGAGAAAGAAGCAAGACACAGAGAAGAAAGAAAGAAAGACAGACAGACAGACAGAAAGAAAGAAAGAAATAAAGAATGAACGAATGAAAGAATGAAAGAATGAAAGAATGAAAGACAGAAAGAATGAAAGAAAAGAGAGAAATAAAGAAAAGAAAGAAAGAAAAGGAAAAAAGAAAGAAAGAAAGACAGAAAGAATGAAAGAGGACATAGGAAAGAAAGAAGAAATATGAAAGGGGAAAGAAGAAAGAATAACAGAGAAAGAAGAAGGAGTAATTTGAAATAATAAATACGGAATAAGAAACCAGAAAGAAAACAGAAGAGGGGAAGATAAGAAATAATGGCAAGACAAAAAGCATGCGGCTTGCAGGGCTCCTTCTTGGAAGCGCTTGCAAAACGCAGTGTGCCATGGGGGAAGTACTTGTTGAGCGCATTTGTTTTCATTTGTTTTGGAAGATTGTTGCTTATAAACGCATCGGGGTGGCTATGAACAAAGAACTTAGCAACATTGCAGCGCATGTTGGTGAACAAGAGGTTGTACAACACAGTTAGGATAGTTCCTGCACGAGCACCCTTCGAGTACCCTGTGCGGGAGTGTGCGAGTAGCGCGTGCGAGTGTACGAGTGGATCGTGCGAGTGTGCGAGTGGAACGGGCGAGCGTGCGGACACGAGTGGACGAGTAGACGAGTGACTCGAACACGCGCGCGCCCTACTCGCACACTTTTCACTCGTACGGAAATAATGTTTTTTTTAGACCTTGTATTTGTCTCACGAGTACTACTTTCAATTGCGCGCAAAAAAATACGGTCTTCAACAAACCTTTTTTCTGTACGAGCGAGTAGCGCGCGAGTGTTCGAGTCGCTCGTCCACTCGTCCACTCGTACGGGCGCTCGCCCGTTCCACTCGCACACTCGCACACTCCACTCGCACACTCGCACGCCCTACTCGCACACTCGCACGCCCTACTCGCACACTCCACTCGCGCACTCGTCAAAAAGCCACTCGCGCACTACTTGGCAACATGCTTGAAAAACATGTTTACAACCTCTTGGCGCCAGCGAACGCATAGGGGTGGCTATGAACAAAGAAATTTGCAACATTGCAGCGCATGTTGGTGAATGGTGGTGTGCCATGCGTTTGTGGACACTATGAACAATTTTTAATCTCGTGACCTAGCTCAGACAAGTAGAAGCTAATGTGAAAACGCATAGGCACGAACTGGCCGGACAAGGCAGTCGCAACATAAACACGCACTTTTGATGTGGTGTGCCATGCTGGTTTGCTTGTGGGGTGAGCGGTGTGCCAAGCGGTGGGGTGAGTAGTGCCTCCCATGGGTTTTGTGTCTAGGGGATCTAAAGCAATGTTCAAAACTAAAAACATGAAATCTTGAAGTGTTGCGTCCAATTCCGTCCCATACTGTTGGAAATTATACATGCCATGCGCCGTGCCATTTGGATTTGTTGCTTCCGGTGCTCCCACTGGATACTTTTCCCAGCTGCACATCCTATTGCGTCCCATTGAAATACTGCGTCACAGTGGGATTTGGCAAGTTTTGCACTGACTTCTCTGACTTCGTGAATGCGCTTGCGTCTCATGCAGGTTTGCTTGTGTAAGCTGTCGTGCACCGATTTCGCCGCCGAGTGTAGGACGTGGGGCGGTTGTCTGCAAACGCGTCGAACATAGGGGGAGAGAAGTGGGCTTGTCCCCAAGTGGAATGGATCCCTTGTTAGTTTTAAAGGCAACCCGCAAGGAAAATCAACCGCCTGAAGGAGTCCCTAATCTTGAGTCGCACCATGCGTTTCAACAGCAAGTTTGATACTTAAAGGTGTCCGACATTGGGGGCGCTTGGGATGGTGGTGCAACCAAAATGAAACTGCCACTTTACAGGTGACCAGTTTACTGGTGACCAGTTCAGCACACCAAAGCCAGCCTTGTCTTTGCCTCATTTCCCAGTTTATTTGGCCTTACTGGTTAAGCCCTCAACTGTTTGGGGCGCGTTTTGGTCCACGGCCTTTAAAGGGATACAGTGAACGCCCTGTAAACTTCCTGGCTGCTATAGGACAAGGATTGACAGGATTTACGGGTATCCCGGCGTTGGAGAAAACTAGAGCAAAAACAAGCTAAGCATGTTCGAGGAGTCATTAGCCCCTAATTATTCAACCGCTTGTTTTCGGCAAGTGACCTTCCCAGATGCATTTGCGTCGGGTTTCAGATTGCATTGTTCTTAAGATTATCTTGTTTGACACCCCACACTAGGCCAGAACAGCATCACTCATTTCGATGTACATTCAGCAGACCCCAAGCGGATTTTGACAAACGGGTTCCAGCTTACACAAAAGGACCATGCTTGTAGCACCTAGAACCCATGTGTTAGAACCGAGGGTAATTACCTTTTTTGGTGGTTGTTCAAGGGAAACCATTTTTTTCTTTGGGGGGGTCCCCCCCAAAAAAGATACGCCCATGTGCTTGATCGAGCAGCTCTGTGCCGGCCCATGGCTAGGATTCCGGGCGCCTATTTGCTCAAGGATTCATCCTCACTTGGCTCAGAAAAGGCATGAACAAAAAACACGGGAACCGATTGTTTTGTCCAAACAAATGCATTTGGCCCTGAAAAGGCGCAGATATATTGCACTTAGTTTTCTTTACGCTTTATCAGAATCATCTCACCACCCTTCAGCATCCCCACCCACGCATTGAAACCATGAAGCCTTTGAGACCTGTTCAAGACCTGATTGACCTGGCTGACACCCATGCAATTGCAACAGTTGTTTTTTCCCAAAGGAACTCAAAGGGGATGGGTATGACTGACATTTCCCAGATTTCCGACTTAACACCCAGACAGAAGAGACAACTTGACTTCACGGGGGGGGGCCTCGGCCGAGCACCCGCCCCGAGCGAGTCGCCGGTCAGCGAGTCGGGCGATCGCCGAGCGAAGCGCTAAAACGGCGTGGATGCTGCCCTTGACTCCCGGGAGGTATCAGAGGCATGGATCTGCCGTGAGCGCACCGATTTAATGAGCAAAACTCCAGAATGTAGGTCCTTTGCCTCGGTCCAAGTATTCTGTTTTCAGGTTTTGGGATTTTGATAACGTTTCCAGATGGTTGGGTGCCCGTATTAGGCGAGGGCGCATTCAAGAGAATGACACATGGGAAGGGTGGTTCTAGGGCTCCCTCAGGTGGCTTTCCTGTTTCCCTCAACCCAATTACAGTATTTAGTGTTCGTGTAGGTAGGCCAAGAGTGAAGGGCCAAGTTGGCTTGGGCTTGTGGCGTTAAGGCCCAGTGTAAAGCCCGAGACCTTGACTGGGCATCCATCGTGCATGGGTTTGTCCCGATTAGACTCTGGGCGCGCCAATAATGTTGGTTGTTGCTTTCTCTTAATACCAACGAAAAGGGAGTTAAAAAGGCACCCGCATGCTATATATATATATATGTGTGTTTGGGTATGCACATGTGTTCACCTCACACTATATATATACACACAACAGGGGTACGTGATTGAGTCCTCAGAGGATGCCAGCATGAAGAAAGGGACAGCACAATAGCCCCCAATAAACAAACAAACGCATGAGCCCAGTCTTGCTGTGAACCAATAGCTGTAGGCAAAGCCCTGCTAATGAACATGTCCACAGCATGGAGAGTTTGGATCACGGCACATGGGTCTGTCTCAAGTAGTGGACGCCCTTCGGGTTGGTACTTTGTGGTGGGAAACAAAAAGTCAGCCAACCACACACCCACATGCGTTTTGACAGCCTGGTTTGCACGTGGCTGTCCGAAAGTTGACGAATCCCCTCTTTGGATTTTATCCATTTTATTCTGTGGATGGCAGAAAGATACACGGTAAGACAATTGGTTCCCGATGTTGTATTGGTTCCTATGTCTCACTTTGAGTTGCATTGATCCCTGACGCCAGATTGTCTTGTTTATTGGTGACCTATTTCTGGTCACATGATGCACTTGCAGTTTCGAGCATGTGGCCTAAAAGTGGGCAGCTCTTTGCCTAATTTTGACAGGCCCCTTACCTGCCTTCAGAGAAGCAAGCAGCGGTTGGCCCAACAAATTGGTGACCCCTCCAAATGTGCTGGCTTTTCATTGTCGTCCTCCAAACAAGGCCCGGAAACGCCCAACTTAAGATTGGTGCCTCGCGAGTTGAGCGCGGGTGGGTGTTGTTTTCCTCCGAAGGCGGAGCAGAGTGGTGGCACGGCTCACCAACCTGCTACTGCAGTTCTCGATCGCCACAGGCTGCTTGGGGTGGGGCAAGGTTTGCCAAGCCAAAGACGGGTGTGTGTGTGTGTGTAATTGGTGTACTCTGTCTTGTGTATTGTGGTGTGTGTGTGTGTGTGCGTGCGTGCGTGGTATTTGGCGGGTACGGGGTTTTAGGGGTTGGCTCAGAGGGCAAGCGAAGAGAAAACCACTTTTTGGGGTCCCCTATTTTGACACTTTCCCACATGGAAACGGCAATCAATCTTTGAACCAAAGTTTCAAGAGCGGGTCGTATTTAAGGCAACCCACCAAGTTCATGCCCTAATTCAGACCCAAAGGGAAGCAATTGGAACCTAGAGAGCGACCAGAAGGGACTATTTGGGGCTATAAAGGACCATTAAGGGCCATAACTCCCCTATGACTTCCCTTGCTGTGGGTCATCAGTATTGGAATGCTATGGATGTTAACAGGGGTCCTGCCAGGATGGTTTGTCCTTCCCCCTTCAACCAAACCGGGGTCCTAAACCAGCAGAGATGTGCCAAACCCGGAGGAACGCAGACGGCACGGCGCGTTCTCCTTTGCCTCATCCTGTTGCCGCTTGGCTGCAATAGTCGCTGCCCTTCGAACTGCAACGTGTGCATGCTAGGCATGCTAGAAGTAGCTACGCAATTAGTACCCCCAGTGAACACTCGGCAAAGCCTCCTGTAATTCCTTATAGCTATACTATCCAGTTGGGTAACTCAAGTAGGATCTCAACTCCCTCCCGCACACCCAGCTGGCCTTGGTTTCCCCAAAACAAGCCGATCGACAGGCCTTGTTTCAGCAGTACTCGTTGAAAACAAGGGCGTTGGGGGAGATGTTAGATGAGTACTTGTAGTCGCAGAAAGCGCGGGAACCCCGCTTGAAGATAGGTTTTGCTACCTTACCACTAGCCTCAAGGAATAAGGAATACAGAAACACTCTCTAGCCACTGGTTGAAAACTGAATTCATTCTCTTTGGATGGTTTGGCGCCTGGTGGATACTCGAACTTTCTAGTTGCTCAGTGGCCGTTTTTTTGTCGGTTCCAAAATCATTTTGAAATCAGGTCACTGGTTGCAGAATAAGGAACACGCTGAAAACTGGTTGGTGCATATAGCTCCCCATGTAAAATCTATCCACCAAGAGGTCCATGAATCAATCATAGCCACATGTCACAAGATCCTACCCCCTTCTCCCCGTAAACTCACTAAATAGGGCCTTAAACCAGCTGAGCAGCGCCCAAAACCTGTATTGGTCATTTAGTAGGTGATGCAACTTCTTAGTTTCACAGGGCATTATGGTGGCGTCTACATAAAGGTGTACCACGTTGGTAGAAACAGCAGTAAACGGGTTTTGGGTTCTCTATAAATGGCAAGGGTTTCATGTTGGTGTTCTTTGAGCATGGGCCAAAAGAATGTCCAGTGTGATGCCATTCTTACGGGCTATAGTGCCACTTTCCGTGGTACACAGGGACGCCCCTTTCAAGTAATAGACTTATTGTAGGAAATGGACGGCCTACGTTGGTATTGCAGAAAAGGATATGTTCCACTTATAGAAACCATCTGCAGGAGTTTCTATGGGCAATAGGCAAAATACCTCCCAACACCTGGTAACTTTTCTGCAAACCCGTTGAAAACGTCACCTGACCCTTGAGAGACCTGCGCCCGTCTCGCAAGGGTGGCCTGGGTTGGGCTCTACGGAGACTTGCTGGGAGCAGGCTACACCAATCAGGCACTACAGCACCATGAGGACGGGAGGGTCTCCTCCATATTGTTTTAGATATTTTAGAGCAGACTGACTATTAGTTTTGGTGTACCCAAGATTGTGGCACAGGAGAGGCGCGGTTGGCATTGTTGTTTTAATGAGGTTCTTCTTGGGTCTTGCGGGATGGTCCCAGGCACGGTAAATTGGTTTGGGAAGGTAAGTCTGGAGGGTTGGGTGCATACATACTTCTGTAGGTTGTATTCATGGGGTTCATTCTCAGTGAGTGGCCAGGACTCGATCTTCGCGCGAGTCGGCTTCCGCCTCTCAGTGCTGGTGGCCATTTTGCTGGTCGGGGAGAGCACGTTGATCCTGGTGCCACCCGGCAGGTTCTGTCGAGCCCAGTCCCAAGGGCCGTGTTTGTAGGTTCTACTCGGTTCTACTACCTAATCTAATCTACCTAATTTAATAAGGATAGCAATAGCAAGGCAAGGCCCGCGTGTGTTTCCTATGATGTAAGGAATGTCGGCTTTGCATTGGTCTCTGCACTAATCAGGGCGGTTCTCCTTTAGATCAGGAAAGGTTCACTATTGGGCGATTTCTCCGACTAGTATGCTCCTCCACCTTGTTCATATTGATCCGGAGTTGTTGCTAGGCCAAATGCCACCCCGAAACAAGGGGTGCTGCGGAAATCCCATGCTTAGGGCGAGAATGGTGGAGATTCACAAGTGTCCTATGGAACCTAGGCCAGTTGGAGGCCCTACAAGACGCAAATCATAGGCCTTATCGGGGCCCTGGTGGTCGGAATGGAAAAAACGCCGGTGGGTCCTTGCATGTCCCCTCTGCTCGAGGTATCCAGAACTGGGATTCTTCAAAAGAGATGGAAGTGTCTTTGTTTCAAGGATGCCTTTTTTTTGGTGTTTGCAAAGCGGAAAAGCGTCCGAAGCCCATTTGGGACCCGGTTCCTTAGACTTGGGGAGAGAAACCAGCAAAAAGCCGCCTTTGTTTGTGTTCTTGGTTGTTGGGATGGCGGTTCTTTGACATCAACCATCCCCAAATGAGCAGCGCCCAAAACCGATTCCCGTTTGCTAGGGGTTGTGCTTCCTAGCTTGGAGAGGATTGCTGTCAGGCGTATTTGCCACATCGGAACCAACCAAAAGGCAATAGATGAAACGGGCACTGCTCTGGTGCCATTTCTCCCATAAAGAAATACTGACTGACTGGCAGGTCAAGGTCAAAAGACAGCTGAGGTATGGCACTGTGGTCTATGGCTCCGTCTTTCTCATGCAGAAGGTGTGTGCCCTAATTCAGTGGCACCCTTGGTTAAAAATTCGAGGTTTGAATCACACCACATGATGCCCCAATTCTAGGCTCGGGATCTCAACGTGGCCAACCTTCCAACCCTTTCAATATGTGGGTACGAGAGTTAATAATACACGGGGGGGGGGGGGGGGGGGTGCGGGGCTTCAGCCCACAGTTTTTGCACAGGATGGCTTCACCTTTGCTTCCTTTCAAGACCAAACAGGGACATGAATTGGGAGACAGCCACTCTGCAAGTGACAAGAATCCTAATGAGAGTTGAGGAACCGTGACCGGCCCATGCGTGATGTTTTGGAATGTATGTCCATGTTGGGCTTGTTTTAACCACCTGTTTAGTTTTCAGCCAAAACGACAAGTGGGATGCTACTCAGCAGCTCTGCAGGGCTGAATGCAAAGCTCGTCATATGAGCCAACGTTAGCATCAAAATGGGGGAAGCCACAAGAGTTGTGCTTTGTCTTTGTTTTGCCTTTGGTTTGTCTTTGTGTTGCCTTTGGTTCGCCTTTTTGTTTTCCATTGTGATTGTCCTCCAAGCACAACATACCCTTAAACAAAACATACCCATTGCTTCTGCCCTGACAAATAATCCTCATCTACCTATTGGCTGATTTTTTTGGCAGTGCTGAGCCACCATCGCCACTGCCTTCCCGGCATCACAGGAATTCTCAGTCATGGTTCCTTATAACATGTTCTTGCCTAGAGGGGTCATACATTGCAGCTTCATGGCCATCTGAATACATGTGCAACTTCAACCTCTTTTAAGGCGGTCCCTCGATTTAGAGGGTTTTCAAAAATCAGAAGGTGACATGACTGGAGGCTGAGTTGTTTCACGCAACTAGTTGTCCAGTATGGCTTGCTTCCTTTATGCAGGTCCTCGGGTTCTGGGCTACTTGTAACATGTTCCAAAAGCAAGGCGGGTTGGGATTCTACAAACAGGGGCCAACTAGTCAAGGGGCACGGCAATGTCGTTTCAGGCCCTTTGCAAAGTCACCCAACTGATTTTTTGTGGGTGCATAAAAACAAGCCCCCACCTGAAATGCAGAACCCCCTTCAAACCAATTTTGGGTTGGTGGATTCAGAGTATCCCGTGGCACGCAAGACAGGCCTTTGTGCTGGGCTTCTTCTGCTCATCGAGCATTGTCACGCTTCTGCTGCTTGCAGCTCAGACGCATCTGTGCCACTTAGTTCCCGACCGCTTTGGGTTGGTGAATCCAGTGTTTTATCCCGAAGGTCCGGACCGTTCCAGGAAAATGAATCCCAGAGGTCACCCAAAATGGGCCTTGGAGATCACTAGCCATAATCCCAGCGCTGTGGATTGCACTCTGATAATTCCTTGTTGTTTGGCGGGTTCTGGGCCCACTAAAAATGGACACCCTGTACAGGATTCCAATTGTTTCTGTATGAAAGTTACTGGATGCGGGCCTGGTTGGTCTTTCTTTGAATGAAGCAACCCGAACCCTGCATTTCATGCGTCTTGGCAACAAATGCGCCTGTAAGTGAATGGTGTGCCAGTGCGTTCTTTTAAAACCAACTGATCAGCGGGGGTGCCCCGGCCCAAAGGGCCGTTGACAGGGACGAGGTCATCTTGTGGAACGCATTTGAAGGAATTCCGCGTGGAGCGCTTGACGACCATAGGCCAGGGCAGACTTGAAACATAGGGGTGTTTGTTTTCAAGGGTATCCCTTTCGGTGTTGCTTAAAAGGAGAACCCAAGGGAAAGCCGCGGCCCAACCAGCCAGTGACGCGCCTTCGCATTTTTCCATTGCGCCGCACTCAATCCCGGGTAAGTTAGTCAGGAACGGTCCCAAGCTCAAATTGGTGCGGCCGCCCTTTTAGTTCTTAATAGACCACGTTGATACCAGGTTTGATTGTGACTCATTTTAAGACAGCATGTTTGAACAGGCTGGCCACCAACCTGAGTTTGCTCAGGCGCGCTACGCTGCGCGGTACAGCTGGCTGATCTATGCAGTGCCCGTGTGTGCGTCCCTGCGGCTTCTGCTCATACCTGCGACTCAGCACCCGAATGTGGTTGGAACACCCGGAAAGATGGACACATACGTCCGCATGTGTGTGTATGACTGTGTGCATATCCTTTGACGGAACCCTTTTCAGGCGCTTCAGGTTTGGCTTAAAGGCCAACCAAAACGACTACAACCCCCCTCCCCCCCCCCTCCCGCCCATTCATAGCAATTTGACTTTATGATGTGCACCAAAGGGTCAACCAACTAGGCTCATTTGCGCTTGGCAAAAGCGAAGAGAGAAGGATGGACAGTTGCTGGACTTGACCAGTGTTGGGAAGTGCAATTCAGCGGCAACAGCAAGTTTCGACTTGTTGTTGGCCAATCCACTCGGGAAGGGACCCTACATACGTACAAAAAGGAACCATGCATGCACGGCGTCTCAAACGTGGGGGCTGCCCTTTTCGGCTGGTTCAAAATGCAGTTGGAAGGAAACCGTTACCTTTTTGTATTTTTGTTTGGGGGGCACACTTTGGTCAGTATGACACAAGATCCATTCAACCCCCCTCCTACCAGAGAAGTCAATGGTAGGCCATGGTTGAAAGGCTTGCATTGGCAAAGGGCACCTGGGGAAAAGGGCGCATACAAACACGCACACACACAAACAAACAAGCACTCACACAAACACACACAAACACACACAAACACACACACACACACACACACACACACACACACACACACACACACACACACACACACACACACACACACACACACACACACACACACACACACACACACACACACACACACACACACACACACACACACACACACACACACACACACACACACACACACACACACACACACACACACACACACACACACACACACACACACACACACACACACACACACACACACACGCACCCACCCATCCACGCACGCCCGCACGGGCACCCGCATCCACACACACACAAGCACAGATAGAACACAACAACCAAGAGACTTACAAATTTCCGCTGTCCTCTAGGGGCAGCAAATCATTTTGTCCATGGCACGTATGCAGGCTGATGCACCCATCGAGGGAATGTATGATTGAGGCAAGGAATTTCAGGTTTGGATGGGCCCGCATATGTTTGAGGTGATCATTAATCCTGCTTGGTCGCAAGCGAGAAACTGCTTGCTTTGGGGGGAACCCTGGAGTTGCGTGTGACGAGAGGTGATGCTTTCTGATGCTCACTTGAGTGCATTTCCACCCCAGAAATGTATCCAAGCATTTGTCTACCACTCAAATGATCTTCAAACATGTAGCGCGGAACTTGGAAGGTAAGGATCTCTTTGCTTGAGACCGAATTGGCGCAAGCCCCCGGCCAAGCTTCGACATCCGGCTTTGCTAGGGGTTATGGCAGATGGTCCCAACCCAAACCTTATGCAGGGCGCCCGGACCACCATCTTATTTGAGGACATCCCTGGACACCAAATGTCAGTGCCGTAAACTGGTCGGTGCGCAAAAGGCTTCATTCAAAAGATACCCTGCAGTGAATGATGATGAAGGGTTCCACAAACAAAACGGACACGTCTTTGGTGTTCCTGCATGTTATATGCGAAAATGCACTTACACACACACAAACATGAACACATGCATGCACGCATGCATACATGCATGCATACGTACGTACATACAGACACACACACACACACACACGCACATACATACATACATACATACATACATACATACATACATACATACATACATACATACATACATACATACATACATACATACATACATACATACATACATACACACATACATGCATGCACACATTCATACATACATACATCGATAGACAGATAGATAGATACATACACACACACACAGACACACAGACACACAGACACACAGACACACAGACACACAGACACACAGACATACGTACGTACGTACATACATAGATAGATAGATAGATAGATAGATAGATAGATACATGCATACATGCATACATGCATACATACATACAGGCATTGATGCATTCATACATACAAACACACATACCGACAGACAGACAGACAGACAGACAGACAGACAGACAGACAGACAGACAGACAGACAGACAGACAGACACACAGACAGACAGACAGACAGAGACAGGCAGGCAGGCAGGCAGGCAGGCAGGCAGGCAGGCAGGCAGGCAGGCAAGCAGGCAGGCAGGCAGGCAGGCAGTACATACATTACATACGTACATACATGCATGAACTCATACATGCGTACATTACGTTACATACATTACATACATTTCATTCGACATACATGATATACATTACATACATTACATACATTACGTACGTTGCATACATCGCATACATTACATACATTGCTTACAGTACGTACTGTACACGCAGTACATACAGTACATACAGTACATACAGTACATACAGTACGTACAGTACATGCAATACATACAGTACATACAGTACATAGATACATACATACATACATACATACATACATACATACATACATACATACGTACGTACGTACGTACATACATACATACATACATACATACACACACATACAGATACACATACACATACACATACACATAGGCATACACATACACATACACATACACATACACACACATACATACATACATACATACATACATACACATACATACGTGCGTACATACATACATACATACATACATACATACATACATACATACATACATACATACATACATACACCCCAGGTGAGAGGGAAATCATTGACGCCTGCTAGCAACCATTGTGGCTATCAGAGGCCATCAAGAAAAAATCCGCTTCCATGGCTCCCTATCAATGTCTCTAATTCACCGTGGGTGTGTGCTTTTTCGAGGGAACCCTCTTTAGCTTGGACTAAAGGACAACCACATATCATAATGTGTGTTCTTTTGGGGTCCTAGTTGACACATACCCGTTGACCAGGGGCATGCAGTGGAAGCGTAGGTGATCCGAGCGGAGCGGGTGAAGTTTACGCGCATGGTGGAGATGGCCAGATGCCAGAGCCTCTCCCTGGAGACGTGACCTGGCGGAGTGGCGTTTCCTTTGGGATCTCGTAAGTGACTTTTTGCTCAAAGGTTCAATAACGGACCAGAACTATTGAAAGGCGTTTAGATTCTCAGGTTCCAGAACCATGGAACAGAATCAAACTTGTTATTTGCTTTTGTTGGGGGCAAAAGCTGCGCTTGATACTCGAAGCTGGTTTCCACTAACCTCAAAGCACTACAAACGGTGAAATCGCACCACATACCGTGGCCATATAGTAGCTGAGTATCACACTGACCCCTGGGCATTGGTTTATGAATCCATTTGCAAAAGGCACAGTGAGATGCGCCAATAAAAAAGCCTATGAGTGGTGTAAGGGAAGCTATAAGGAAGCCAATTCTTAGTGTGAGGACAGTTGGACGTTCCCTTAATCAATGCCGGCAAGGATTCAGCATCAAAGCCGTACTCTGCAGCCTATGTGATATATAATGCTCCCCCCCCCCGGCATGATCTACCTTTTTTGCGCCATCTGCACTAATTTGTACCCTCTGCGGACACAAATCAATTGCATGTGCAAGCCACACAAGTCAGCTCTGTCCGTGTTATGTCACATCTGCAAGCCCAACATAAAATCATCCTGCTTATTAAATTCTACGCAATTTCCAATTCAACTGTTTGTGAGAACCAATGTGGAAAGGAATCCATATTCAATTCAAGATTGCATAAATAGCAATTCAGATTAGACTCCTTCCCCATTAAATCCTGCTTGAGTTATTATACAATCAAAATCATATTTGGAAAGGAATGCCTTTTTGAACCCTCATTCACTGCAGACATGTTTCCTAATTCTTTCTTGTTGTACTCTGTTCAAATTCTAATCAAATCAGAATTATAAAGTGGCAGAAGGAGACTTACAAGGAGCCTGAGAGGAGTTTTAAGGAGCTTTATTTACTTGCAGGTCATTGCATATAATTCGTATTTGTGTTGTGTTCCATCTGCAAGCTTAAATCAACTCCTTTCTACTTTGAACTGGAACTTACAATGATATTTCATCGTTATTGAGCTCTACTCAAACTATTATATTCGAAATCCTTTTGGAAAAGGATTTTGACTTCCATGTCAATACTTTGTGCTAGTAGACTTTAATAAGGAAATAATTTAATCATGGTTGGACAGTTATTCTGTGTCATTCTGAATTGTTTTTTTTTTTTTTTTTTTTTTAATTGCTGTTCAACCTGCTTTTGCAATCAACATCCTACTTTGTATAAGGAGCCTAAGCGGCCTTATAAGGAACTTCACAAGCAGCTTTAAAAGGATTTGCGCAAGGACAAGGAGCTTCACAAAGGAGTCTTCACAGCTAGCCCTACAAGGAGCTTTGTACGGAGCCGGATTAGAAGCTTCAAAGGGAACCGAGCTATGCAATAGCTTTACAACAAGCCTTGGAAGGAGCCCTATGAGGCTTGAGTGAAGCATTTGAAGCCAGCTGTTGAATTCTGATTTAAAATCGAAAGTGAATTTCCACTCTGCCCTTATTGAATTCTATTTAAATTCAAAATTTGTTTAATCAAAGTCCAATTCTGCAACAGATTGCTCTTTTCAGTTTGATTTAGACTGAAGTCGGTGATTGTGCTGATAAAAGTGTTCAGCCAAAGATGTCAAATGCACAAGGCGTGTGCATATATGGTCACACCGTCGACAATAACATAAGGGAGCAAATCACAACAGAACAGCCAAGCTTGATGAGCAATGCCCACAAACAAACAACTCAGTGTTTTGTTGGTTTTCTGAAAGTTTCAGAAGAAACATTATTTGTGAGGGATAATGTCAAAAATTCTGAGGGACAGCCAAAAACAAAACAACTCGACAAACCAGCAAACACAAATGCCAATCTTTGGGGGAGAATCTTTGGTTTCAGCCCCGAACTTTGGTTTTTGGTTTTCTCAAGGTGTTTGGTATTTGTTTGGTTTCCCGCAGTGTTTTTTTGTTTTTGACATTATCCATCACAAAAACAAAACGCCCGACTTGTTTTGGTTTGTGGAAATCTGGCCTTCTCCAAAAACAACCTCGAGTTTGTTGGTTTTTGTGCGGGACAATGTCAAAACACAAAAAAAAGCACTGCGGGAAACCAAATAAATACAAAGCACCTTGATTAAACCAAAAAACAAAGTTGGGGGCTGAACCAAGTATTCTCCCCTGCAGATTCGTATTTTTGTTTTGGTTTTCTCGAGGTTTTTTGTGTTGTTGGTTTTCTTTCAGGTTGTGTGATATTATCGTTCACAAAAAGCAAAGCCACTCGAGGTGTTTTTTCTCTTTTTATTTTTCCGATTTTCCCTCGGTAGTTTTTGTTTTATATGATTTAAGGCTTGCATATGTCGCACAAATGCCAAACAACTGTGTTTATTAGCACTTCGTAAGAGTAAAATACAAGAACACACTGGAAAACTGCATGCTTTTACATCGTGTCCAATTCAATGTGGAATGCCCCAAAAGACCAGAATCCGGTCAGGGGTTTTGTACATTAAACTTCATGATTATGCATCTTAAATGTAATATAAAGGAAACAACATATGAACAACCACGACACCTGGCAGTCTAGTATAAAAAATGCGCATTTTGAATACATACGAACTTTTTTAGAAATACTTCAATACACAAAAGATGGGGGGCTGACCATATATATATATATATGTATACATGTACATATATATATATATATATTTATGTATGGGTGATGCAGATGTGTGTATGTATATACATATTTGTATACATACAGGATGGACATGTGTATATACATACACATACACATATTTGTGCATATGTTGTTATCTACAGGCACAGAAACACACGTGTGTAGCATGTGCATGTATAGAGATGTACCCATCCCATGCGAAGGATCCAGAAGGCCATCCGTGAGACCCCGGAGCGGGTTTTATCGCAGAAGCAGCGGAAGCGGCTGCTGCGGCTCGCAGAGCAGCAGGAGACATCGCGGATCGAGAACCCGACGAAGACCGGATCGGTGTAAACCAAAAGGAACAAACCGTTTCATCTTTGAGTTGCACACAACCCGCTTTTGGGTGTTGTTGAGACCCTTTTTAAGCTTTTTTAGGGTTCCCGGACTTATACCTTGGCTCCAGATGTTCATATTCGCAAACAAGTTGGGGGCAAAAGGAGGCCAACCTTTCCATGTAGCCTACCAAAATGGCCATGACCCGCAATCCATTCTGATTCAGAGCCATCACAAGCCATCACAAGATCCAACCGTGTTGCGTTCATTCGGGAACCTAGAAGGCTTTCACCAGTTGGGGGAGTCTCGAAGCAAGTCCAAGATGGTTTCCAGTACCCTCAAACCGGAAAGATGGTACCTCTAAACAGCCACAAACAACCATCTTAGATCGTTTGGTGGAAGTGAAATCTTTGTTGGGCTGCTGAAAATCATGTTTCCCCCTTGAGAGATCTTCCTCAAGGGGAGGCCTGATTGGTTCCAGTCGGGGATGTAGGACTGCTGATATTTGACAACTTATGTTCATGCGAAGTAGCTTCAAACACACAAACAAGCCACCCCTTGAAAGAGACATCTATTCACGAAAGCTAGCTTTAGCTAGCTAAAGTTTCTCCTTGCGTAAGCAGGGTAAGGGGCTGAAATGCGGAAATATTGATTTTTGTTTATCAATCATGTCAGCCAAACATATTGCAAGAATCAATTATTTAGCCTCCCCTCCTTCCCGGGTTCGAATCCCCCTTGGTCCTCGCCCCCCCGTCAAGAGTTGACTTGGACCCAGAAACACATTTCCAGGGCATCCGGTCTGCATATCCGAATCCACTTTCGTGGTCTTCCTCAGTCTTCTCAGGAAACCACCTTGCAAGCCGTGCGAAAGCAGTATGCAGAACCCAGGAGTTCTTTAAGACGGCTTGAGTAGCCTCCTGAGGATCTTTACGGCCCCTCTTATGGTGCACAAGCTACCTATGGAATCTATTCTGTTCCGACCCGTCTCATACAACAGTTGCTAGCTTTCGTTCACCCCCTCCTCAAGTCCACAGCTGTTTTTGTTCATAATGCTGCAATTCAGAGCCACAGCAAGGGGAGCCACAGCAACCTATGGTGAGTCGTGATATTTTCCATGGACCCACTAAGGACCAAAGGCAATGACCCCCTCATGTTTCCCCTTGTGGCGCTAAGTCTCCATTTAAAGGGAATGCTGAACACCCGGCGCCGAACAAGGGTTACTGTTTGGCTGGGGCAACTTTGACCCAATGGGTTCGCCTTGTGGGTTAGGGGACACGCAGAAGCCTCCAGAGAAATTCCAGCTGAAAAACCTACCAGCAAGAAATGACCCGTTCAACGTTAACATCTAGAACAAATGAAAGTTACTGCTTCTCGCACACAAGGGCCGCTTTCAATGGTGGTTTCAAGCTCGAGTGGCTTCAGGATCAACAGGTGACCCTTGCAAGCGTGCTCCACAGCGGCAGGACCAGAAGCAGGGCCGGGACTTTTGGGAGGAGGCCGACGTGAGGCGCAGCCTGCAGACTGGTTGACAAAGGTTGGTCTTGCGGGGAATGAGGAAACCCCAAACCGCTTCTCCTAAATCACTCAGGGACGATACCAACAAATCTGGTTGGGGTAGTTGAAGGTTTGGGAGCAGTCCCAGCCATAAAGAGGAAACGGGCTGTGATGATTGTTTTCATGGTTTGGGTAGACTTCTTCAATACCAGGATTGGTTAGAATGAGGAGAAGACCCGAACTGAAAGAACCCCGGTTTCATTGTAGGGATCCCCAGGTTCACTGCCAACCCCTTTCGGATTCCCTATGAAAACCAGCAAGGACTGTGTTTTGGTCGGACTGAGTCTACTGTTGCTTTGGAGAGGTCATGGGATTTGCTGTGTCCACTACGAACACCGATCGGGGCGACATGGAACTCACAAAAAACATTTGTGTTTACCCTGTTTATATCCAGCTTAATCATGAGGGTTGTTGAGATTTGTCAAGTTTGTAGGGGAGCGGCCCGTTTTGGGGCCAAGTCTGCGTGTGCTGGACGTAGAGAGCAGCAAGCCAGGTGACCTGCTCTCTCAAAGAAAGACGGTCCGAATCTTGTGTGAGAGGGCTGTGCCGGCTTCCTGCCTTGTGCTGCGGAACGAAGAACCACTCTGGCAAGGTTACCGCTTTAGAAGCTCAGGGCGAACACTTGGCCGGTTCACCATATGGGAAGCGCTGAGTTTTTCAGCAACTCTGTATAATTTTCCCAAATGAAACCATCTTGTACGCGCTGTGGCGACTGGGTCACTGCTATCCCGATCAAGGACACGGGCTGTCCTCACACGTGGGGCGGTCGCAACAAGAAGCGCGGTGGTGTTAAACACCACCTTTTGGTTGCCAATGTCAAATATTTTCCGAACTGGCGGGGGGAAAATAGGGAAACCTGTCTTAGGCCTCAGGCCTGGCTTAGGGCTCCACGTCCCCGTGCCAGCCGCTTCCTCCGCGACGCCGGCGCGGAGCTGTCGGAACACAGCGGGGCCGCGGGCACCGCGGCGCTTCTGAGCGGCGCCTCGGAGTCGGATTCGTCGGTGGGTGGCTCGCCTTTTTTTTCTGGTTTTCAAGGGAAACCAAGAGGAAATCAGGCCATTTTTTGGGGAGTCCGCCTGAGAAAAGACACACACACACACATGTATGATACATGTGTGTGTGTGTGTCTTTTCTCAGGCGGACTCCCCACATCATGTATCGAATTACCTGTTGTTCCTCCGTTTGCCACGTTCAAGCCAAAGGCGTGTGCTTGATGGTGCCGTGGAGTTGTTCCCAATTCCCACTGTCCACTACAAAGTCTTTCCAGTTATAGCAGGCAATCAGACCAGGATGTAAAATGTAAAACCCAGAGGTGAGAACCCTCTGCTACTTCTGCTATTTGCTGCAGTGGTAACTGGATGCACTGTTGGAAAGGACCCCCGGCTTTCCTTGGCTCCTCTAACCAAGGTGAAAGGGTAGCCGCAAAAACACGGAGATGAAGCCGATGAGTTTGCTATTTTGGTGCACCCTGGGGTCGGGCGAGTGCGTCCACCAGCCTCAGTCCCACTTATCATGGTAGCTTCGAAGTTCACCCCGACCCAGTTCTGAGAAACCCCCTTGAATGCTTCAGGTCCAAAGACTGTTTGGCCAGGGAACCATTGCGGTCCTCTGAATCCGAAGTTCCCATTACTGAAGTTATTAATGGCTTGCGAAGTTCCAAACGTGACACTTTGTGTTCATCGTTTTAGTATCGGGAGACCCCAAGGGTAGACAATTGGTTCTTTCAATTGGTTCTTTGGTTCCTTGGTTTCCTTTGTCTCCCAAAAAAACAGGCCAACTTTCCATCCTTTGAATCGGGTCGCATGGGGGACAACCCTGTGAATGCCTTCATAATTGTTTTGCAGACCCAATTGCTGCATGGTCTAACCAACATTTGGCGGGTTCGCAAAAGAATGAGGGGGCCTCTTGGCGACCAGCTTTAAAGGCGCCAAATGACACCAGAACGGGGTCCCATACAGCGGACATGCATTTCGGCCACATGGTGAACGCTGCCACTAAGCCGCACTCTTTTGCTGAGGCGTAGTGGCTCGCATTGGCGGAACCAACGCGACCTTCAACAACTACGGCATCTCGGCGGTCTCGGCGTTGGACGATTCAGGGTTGTGCTTTTAAGACGACAGCATCAACAACACGTTTCGGGCAGCACCTAAACAAGCTCCAGAAAACATCTCTAGGACATGGCCAAATCCCCTTTTTGGTTGCGGCTGGAGCTTGTTCTCTTCCTTTTTTTACAAAGTGGTTCCAAAACAGGTGGCACAGGGCAACCCTGGTTCGCTCGAGTCTCAATGGCGTGGTGGTTTCAGCGTGCAGCTGTGCTTGCCTGAGACCAAGTGCACGGGGTGAGTTACCTGTCCCGACAGTATGTGCTTGCTGCGCTCCCTTTAAATCAACTCCCGAAAGGGTGCACCCTCCAAAATCGAGCACCCATGTAGGTATTTCTCAAAATAAGGAGCCCCAAGAAAAGAGGGGATGTTCTTTTGGTGTCCCTAAGGCACCCATAGGGTCCATTGTGACGTCCAAGGAATCTTCGCCACCTTCAGCAGCGGGTGTTGGTATCTGCTGACCAGCGCCATGGGCAGCTTCATGCTCTTCGCGGTGAGTTGCTTCCTGGACGGCTGCATCGGGCCGCTGCACCTCGAGCCAGACTCGGCTCTCGGGGCGGTGTGCTCACTTTTTGAGTTGCGGGACTTTGTACGTTTTGAAAAAAGTGTGTGCTGTGTTTGTTTCTTTTTTTCTTTTCTTATTCCGCTTCTGCACAAGAAGCGAGGTTGTGTGAGGCTCGGTACAGTACGGTAAAAAGGGAAAGAATACAGGAAAGCCATCTTGTCTTCTTCTTTTGTTTTGTTTTTTTTTGGGGGGGGCAAGAACGCTGATCCAGACACCATCGGAAAAATGCAGCAATCAAGCCGAAACCCAACATTCAGATTTCTGAACTTGAAAGTGCATGGGTTTGTCTGATTTGAAAGCTTCAAGAACTTGCAGTTCGGGGAAAATGGGTGGTTTCCGCAAAAAGGCGTTCCGAAAAGCCTTCTGAGGATGCTCTAGAAATGTATGGAAGGGGCTGAAGCAGGTGGTCTCGAACAAAACCGGAGGCGAGGATTATTCGCTTTCTCTGACCGGCCAACTTGGAGTCCTCTGTATTGTTTTTTTGGATTATGTCGTCAATCGAACATCAATCACCAAATGGTAACACAGAAGGGTCAATAGCTCAACATGCCCCAGAAGGAGATTCCTCTACAACTACAGGGGAGTGACATTGAAAGCATGCCACTTTGGCAGCCTCTAGTGTGATGAAGTTGTCATGGTTGGATGACACTCAACCACTAAATGGTATCAGAGAAGGGTCCATTGCTCACCATGGCCCAAAAGAGATTCCGGTTCACGCGTTGGGGGTAACTTGGTCTCTTTCTGTGGCCAAGCTAAAGTCTTATTTTGTTGGCCGTTTTCCACAACCATCATAATATGAAGTACCGTCAAAATTACTTCTGTTGAGTTTAGTATTCGGTGTTTCATTGATATTGTGAAAATGCACAAAACCGTGGCAAACGATAGGGGACTCTCGAAAAACGATACCCCTGGAAGAGGATGGAAAAGCTGGAAAACGATGGGGGACTCTCAAACTAAGTAGCGAAACGGCCGCAAGTAAGTAATTTCGACCGTGCCTCATATGATTCTCGCAGTTGATTCGTGAGGGTGTATGTCCATCAGGTGATTTCTTTGATTTTCTTCAAACCACGCCGAAACGGGTACCCGCAGAAGAAGGGAATATGTTCTGCGACCACGCGCCAAGGGGGTTACGGTATCCTCAAAGTAGGGGGAGTAACATGGAGAGCCGACTTAATATTCAAATGGGTTGTCTCTAAACTGGGGGCGGGGGTGGGCGGTGGGGCGGATGTACCGCAAAACTGATGGTTGCGCATTTGGTTGGGAGGCCAGCCACATTGGTACTCTCACAAAAGACGCCCTCACGAATCGCAGGTATGAATGTCTTGTTCCTTGATCATTACCTTGTTCTCTTATGACAAACCTTGACATCTGGTCTGTCTTTTGTAGGGCACCCCCAAAAATGGCGGCTTTTCTTTGGGGTTCCCTTTTAAAATCATCCAAGAAAGGGTTCTTAGCTCCCCCCCTTGAAGGTTGGTATTGAGCCGAGGCAAGCGGCGATGATCTCCTCCTTGACCGAAGCCATCATCGTGAGAGACGAGTCTGCTGCCTTGCGCCACATCGCCTGCTATGCAGGCGGGTGGCTTCCATTGGGGCTTGTTTCTTTTGATGCCTGTTTTGGGTTTTGAGGGAAACCAAACCTTCGCGGTCCCCAATTTCGTGAGTGCCCAAGCCATGAAGTCCCCGTAGGCCAGTAATCTCATCTAGCGGCCTAGCTCCGAGCCTGAAGATGATCGGAACACAAGGGTAGAAGACCTTAGATTAGCTGCCTTAAGTCATCCGGTGTGGTTTGGCTTCCTCACATTGCCAGGGGCCAAATTTTGAGGCCTCTGATGGGGACGCCTGGCACAAGAACACCTTAGGAGTCCACTGAAGTTTCTGGACGTAGGACCCGAAAGGTCCAGCATTGATTAGGTGCAAGAGCCTCCCATGACCCGAAACCCCGCACGGATATCACATGTTGGCTGGCGAAGTAAACTTCACGCAGCTTATGAAGGTTGCTTTGCAGGCTGTCTGAAGTGTAGCCGCAGACGGCGTGTTGCCGTGGTCAAACTGCATAGAGGGTTGAGCTTGGAAGCACATCTTTCTTCGGTTATTGTTGGATGCACGAGCCAAGTTGCACGGTTTTGCCAGCTTGCAGAGATGAATTCGGGTAGATAGAGGATTGATGAGCTTGGGTCTTTTGTGGACATTGGCAACATAGCATCATCCTCCTGCCCATCCTCCTGCCCCCCCAAGGTAGGACGTACCCTGCAACTCTTTTTAGTCACTCATACCACTTGCCAAATGGTCATCAGAACGAGTCATGCCAAGGGTGCTAAGTTAGCTTTTGGCCCTGCCATCTTGAAGACAAATTGCAGGATTAGTTGGCACGAGAAGCGAGTCTGCCAGAATCAACCGTGCACTAGTCAAGTGGCGTGTTTTTGGCGCCACTCATCTTGGACGCATCACCGGTTTCGGGATTCTGCTGTTGGAGACCTGTTTTTTTGACGCCTTCTTGGCTCGACTAGCCGGCTTCTTTTGCGCACATCTGCGCACTTGTCTACTGGTTGATCCCGAATCCACTGTTTTCCCCCATCCTTCTTTTGGACAACTGCCAAGATCCAAGACTCTCAAGTTTTGGGCGAAAGATACCGGACCTATACCTAGAAGGAATGGGGGAAGCACAACTAGAGCTTGGCAGCGATTACTTGGGCACTTCTTAGTTCTGGTCTGTAAATTCATAGTCATTTGCCCAGATTGGATTTGATGCTTTGCTGCGAGGCACTCAGCTCTTGAATTTGGTGTGCTACACGGCCCTGGTGATATCCTACTCGCAGATTCTGGCACGAGGCAGGGGTTGAGGGCGTGCCTCTGTTAACCGAGGCAACGATTCAATTGTTGGTGTCCCTTTTGAATTTGGGGTTCAATTCAATTTGACAGCAGCCTTGCATGTCTCGGGGAAAGTTTGAAACAGAAAACGATACAAGTGGTCTACCTGCAAGCAGACGTCGGTCTTCACTTTCCTTCTGCTCGGTGGCACCCTTGCTATCCCTTTTTTGCTTGGGCGCTTCGGGATGCACTTAAGGCGGGCCACCCCTAAAAAGGTTCAATTCGAACGGGTCGCTGCTTGCAACTAGGAGTTTGTGTGAAGAGCTGGTTGAAGGACTATCCCGCTGCGTACAATGGCTCAAATGGCTGAAATTGGTACGTCTCGGCTCCATTGCACATTGGGGGGGATTGGAAGCACAGCCCCGCCTCATTGGGTAGGCACCAGAGTTTTGGCAAAATCGAAACAACCATCCCTGCTCCTCTTGAAACGGAAACTGAAATGTTGGAAGGAGTGGAATCGCCCAACCTGGTGAACCCCCCAGTAAATCCTTACGCAACTCCCAGTTTGCCCCGCGTAAACTCGGCCAAAGTGTGGGGCCGGTTCGCGCCCTCCAGGCACGGCGTGCGTGCAAATCCACGTGGCGGAGAAGATGCTGGCGATGAGCTCGAAGTACGCGGCGACCTACGGGTCTGGGTCCATCAACGCGACCTTTGCCTCGGACATTTTGCGGCTGCAGGACCTGTGGACAGGCGCGGAAGCTTGGCATTGTGAGTAGAACACAGAATCTGAAACACTTGCTCAAACGGTATTTTTCCCAGTTTTTCCCACACCCCTCTACTTAGATCGCACTCAATGTGATAAAGTAGTGATGGGGACCAATGAATCAAGCATTTGGTATTGCAGACATGGTTATTTTCCGCAAGAAATGGCTAATTAAGAGAGGTAAACACGGGCCGATCTATCCATCAGACAGGTTCGATTTGAAACCGTCGATCTTGATCAGAACCCCGGGCTTGCTTGGATGTTCAACCTATTCACAGGTTGTTTCGCCATGGCCGTATGTCCACCAACCTTTAGTGTCCATCACTTACAGCTGCAATACTTATAGCCTCCTTTTCGGAGGTTGAAGTCCCAAGTGATTTGAGCCCTCTCTTTTTGTTGTGAGGAGGGAATCTGCAACTAGGTTGATCTGAAAGCTGTCACTCAGGAATCCCTATTGATGAGAATTGGTTTTGGGGATTAAAACCAATCCCTACAAAATATGAGTGGAAGCTGACAGGCGTCATGTGGTCTCTGATGTCACCTCTGTCGCGGGTGCTGATCACCATCATCTACGCCTTCACCGTGTCTCCGCAGGCTCCTCGAAGGGGTTGCGTTGCCTTTAGGATGGCAAAACTTGCTGGTTCTCAGTGGGGAATGAATTGGAATGGCCCCGAAGCCAAGTATCCCTTCTGAGATCCTGGTTTCTTTTCCTGGCTTAGGTTCAATCCCAAAGCCCTTTTGATTCGCTGAGAGCCCGGAAGTAAACGCTGATGGCTCAGCCAGAACCCAGTGGATCCTAGTAAGCGTAGCAGGTAACCCTTCGCCATGCTCCTTCTAGTTTTTCCAGGGTGGTTCCCTTGGTTACCTACACAGAAGCCTTCCGAGCCTCCAAATCTGGAAAGCAGGCTAGGTTTCTTGTGGTTTCCAAATAGCCAGGACCAATTTTGGAGTAGCTCTGCGAACCGCGAAGCCTGAAGCTCCTCCAAACCAATTCCGAAACAAATTTAGGGTCAAGAAGCAAATGGGGGGCCAGAGCTGGGCCTACACTCGTCTCTCAGTAAGCATTGCTTCGTGGTTTGTCTCTCAGCATTGCTTCGTACTGGTTTACAATTGTCTTAAAGTTCCTTGTTGAGCTGTCTGCAGAATTGGTTTAGTATTTGTTTAGTATGTGTTTAGTATTCCTTGGTACTGGCCCAGATATTTTTCCCCTATTTTCTCTTCTTAAACTGTTTGTTGTTCGTGGCGTCCCGGAACTCCCTTGAACATTTGTGTGGGCAACTGTTCTCGTTTTAGTAAAGGGTATCGCCTCGGTTAGTTTGCTGGCTCAGGATTGGCTTAGTAGTACTTAGTATTGGTTTTGTATTGATTAATGGTAGTTTAAGTATTGCCAGGGCTTGGGATCATGTGTTTTTCTCACCCCCGAGTGGTGTGCCGGAGACCGACTGGAGCTTAACCAACCTATGCAGGGACCCCTCGGCAAACCCGCTGACCTCGCGAGGTGGGAGTCCTGGCTCTGTCGGTGTTCCCCATCATCTTTGTCACGGTGCCCCAGGGCTCCTCCTCCATGCTCGCCGCCTCTTACTCCATGGCGGCAGCGGAGACCATCGCGCCTACGCGGCACGGGGGTGGTTTCGGGTGCACCATAAGGGTGTGTACCTGAAAACCTTTGGGATTCGGATTTTTGAGAGGGAGTAAGGGCTGGTTGTTACAACCGAAGGCTTCTTAATTATAGTCCCCGATAGTCCCCGCCTTTTAAACCAAGCACCTGAAACAGGGTGCGTCCAGCGATTCATGAGTTCCGAACCCTGCTTAGATGGTAGATGGTACTGTGTCTACTGCATCTGAGTCACAATCAAAACCTGGGTAATTGGAGGGTGGTAAGGGACAATCCCAGCCAAAAATGGTTGCGGTCATCTTTCATTACATGGTCCTGGGTAGACCATTTTAATACCAGGTTTTGAATTTGACTCATCTAGTGGCTGGTTACTTTTCTTCTTGAAGGTGGCTGTCCATGGTTTGGGTTTGTTAATTGTTTAACGGCCCTATACTTTAGAGCCTCCGGCTCAGTCCGCCGACATTGTCCTCTCCCTTTTCTCCTTCTTCCTCTCTCCCTTGTCTCCCTGGTGTGTTCTGTCGTCCTCTCTCCCTCCCTCCGCTCCCCATCCTCCCCATCCCCCCAAGCCACCAATCTCCCTCTCTCGTACGTATGTATGTATGTATGTATGTATGTATGTATGTATGTATGTATGTATGTATGTATGCATGTATATATGTATGTATGTATGTATGTATGTATGTATGTATGTAATGTATGTAATGTATGTAATGTAATGTATGTAATGTAATGTAATGTATGTAATGTATATGTATGTATGTATGTATGTATGTATGTATGTATGTATGTATGTATGTATGTATGTATGTATGTATGTATGTATGTATGTATGTATGTATGTATGTATGTATGTATGTATGTATGTATGTATGTATGTATGTATGTATGTATGTATGTATGTATGTATGTATGTATGTATGTATGTATGTATGTATGTATGTATGTATGTATGTATGTATGTATGTATGTATGTATGTATGTATGTATGTATGTATGTATGTATGTATGTATGTATGTATGTATGTATGTATGTATGTATGTATGTATGTATGTATGTATGTATGTATGTATGTATGTATGTATGTATGTATGTATGTATGTATGTATGTATGTATGTATGTATGTATGTATGTATGTATGTATGTATGTATGTATGTATGTATGTATGTATGTATGTATGTATGTATGTATGTATGTATGTATGTATGTATGTATGTATGTATGTATGTATGTATGTATGTATGTATGTATGTATGTATGTATGTATGTATGTATGTATGTATGTATGTATGTATGTATGTATGTATGTATGTATGTATGTATGTATGTATGTATGTATGTATGTATGTATGTATGTATGTATGTATGTATGTATGTATGTATGTATGTATGTATGTATGTATGTATGTATGTATGTATGTATGTATGTATGTATGTATGTATGTATGTATGTATGTATGTATGTATGTATGTATGTATGTAATGTATGTATGTATGTATGTATGTATGTATGTATGTATGTATGTATGTATGTATGTATGTATGTATGTATGTATGTATGTATGTATGTATGTATGTATGTATGTATGTATTTATGTATGTATGTATGTATGTATGTATGTATGTATGTATGTATGTATGTATGTATGTATGTATGTATGTATGTATGTATGTATGTATGTATGTATGTATGTAATGTATGTATGTATGTATGTAATGTAATGTATGTATGTATGTATGTATGTATGTATGTATGTAATGTATGTATGTAATGTATGTATGTATGTATGTATGTAATGTATGTATGTATGTATGTATGTATGTATGTATGTATGTATGTATGTATGTATGTATGTATGTATGTATGTATGTATGTATGTATGTATGTATGTATGTATGTATGTAATGTATGTATGTATGTATGTATGTATGTATGTATGTATGTATGTATGTATGTAATGTATGTATGTATGTATGTATGTATGTATGTATGTATGTATGTATGTATGTATGTATGTATGTATGTATGTATGTATGTATGTATGTAATATGTATGTATGTATGTATGTATGTATGTATGTATGTATGTATGTATGTATGTATGTATGTAATGTATGTATGTATGTATGTATGTATGTATGTATGTATGTATGTATGTATGTATGTAATGTATGTAATGTATGTATGTATGTATGTATGTATGTATGTATGTATGTAATGTATGTATGTATGTATGTATGTATGTATGTATGTATGTATGTATGTATGTATGTATGTATGTATGTATGTATGTATGTATGTATGTATGTATGTATGTATGTATGTATGTATGTATGTATGTATGTATGTATGTATGTATGTATTGTATGTATGTATGTATGTATGTATGTAATGTATGTATGTATGTATGTATGTATGTATGTATGTATGTATGTATGTATGTATGTATGTATGTATGTATGTATGTATGTATGTATGTAATGTATGTATGTATGTATGTATGTATGTATGTATGTATGTATGTATGTATGTATGTATGTATGTATGTATGTATGTATGTATGTATGTATGTATGTATGTATGTATGTATGTATGTAATGTATGTATGTATGTATGTATGTATGTATGTATGTATGTATGTATGTATGTATGTATGTATGTATGTATGTATGTATGTATGTATGTATGTATGTATGTATGTATGTATGTATGTATGTATGTATGTATGTATGTATGTATGTATGTATGTATGTATGTATGTATGTATGTATGTATGTATGTATGTATGTATGTATGTATGTATGTATGTATGTATGTATGTATGTATGTATGTATGTATGTATGTATGTATGTATGTATGTATGTATGTAATGTATGTATGTATGTATGTATGTATGTATGTATGTATGTATGTATGTAATGTATGTATGTATGTAATGTAATGTATGTATGTATGTATGTATGTATGTATGTATGTATGTAATGTATGTATGTATGTATGTATGTATGTATGTATGTATGTATGTATGTATGTATGTATGTATGTATGTATGTATGTATGTATGTATGTATGTATGTATGTATGTATGTATGTATGTATGTATGTATGTATGTATGTATGTATGTATGTATGTATGTGTATGTATGTATGTATGTATGTATGTATGTATGTATGTATGTAATGTATGTATGTATGTATGTATGTATGTATGTATGTATGTATGTATGTATGTATGTATGTATGTATGTATGTATGTATGTATGTATGTATGTATGTATGTATGTATGTATGTATGTATGTATGTATGTATGTATGTATGTAATGTATGTATGTATGTATGTATGTATGTATGTATGTATGTATGTATGTATGTAATGTATGTATGTATGTATGTATGTAATGCATGTATGTATGTATGTATGTATGTATGTATGTATGTATGTATGTATGTAATGTATGTATGTATGTATGTATGTGTCTATGTATGTATGTATGTATGTATGTATGTAATGTATGTATGTATGTATGTATGTATGTATGTATGTATGTATGTATGTATGTATGTATGTATGTATGTATGTATGTATGTATGTATGTATGTATGTATGTATGTATGTATGTATGTATGTATGTATGTATGTATGTATGTATGTATGTATGTATGTATGTATGTATGTATGTATGTATGTATGTATGTATATAATGTATGTATGTATGTATGTATGTATGTATGTATGTATGTATGTATGTATGTATGTATGTATGTATGTATGTATGTATGTATGTATGTATGTATGTATGTATGTATGTATGTATGTATGTATGTATGTATGTATGTATGTATGTATGTATGTATGTATGTATGTATGTATGTAATGTATGTGTGTGTATGTATGTATGTATGTATGTATGTATGTATGTATGTATGTATGTATGTATGTATGTATGTATGTATGTAACGTATGTATGTATGTATGTATGTATGTATGTATGTATGTATGTATGTAATGTATGTATGTATGTATGTATGTATGTATGTATGTATGTATGTATGTATGTATGTATGTATGTATGTATGTATGTATGTATGTATGTATATGTATGTATGTATGTATGTATGTATGTATGTATGTATGTATGTATGTATGTATGTATGTATGTATGTATGTATGTATGTATGTATGTATGTAATGTATGTAATGTATGTATGTATGTATGTATGTATGTATGTATGTATGTATGTATGTATGTATGTATGTATGTATGTATGTATGTATGTATGTATGTATGTATGTATGTATGTATGTATGTATGTATGTACGTGTATGTACGTGTATGTACGTGTATGTATGTGTATGTATGTGTATGTATGTGTATGTATGTGTATGTATGTGTATGTATGTGTATGTATGTGTATGTATGTATGTATGTATGTATGTATGTATGTATGTATGTATGTATGTATGTATGTATGTATGTATGTATGTAATGTATGTAATGTATGTAATGTATGTATGTATGTATGTATGTATGTATGTATGTATGTATGTATGTATGTATGTGTGTGTGTATGTAATGTATGTATGTATGTATGTATGTATGTATGTATGTATGTATGTATGTAATGTAATGTATGTATGTATGTATGTATGTATGTATGTATGTATGTATGTATGTATGTATGTATGTATGTATGTATGTATGTATGTATGTATGTAATGTGTGTATGTATGTATGTATGTATGTATGTACGTATGTAATGTATGAATGTATGTATGTATGTAATGTATGTATGTATGTATGTATGTATGCATGCATGTAGGTATGTATGTATGTATGTATGTATGTATGTATGTAATGTATGTATATATATGTATGTATGTATGTATGTATGTATGTAATGTACTGTAATGTAATGTAATGTAATGTATGTATGTATGTATGTATGTATGTATGTATGTACGTACGTACGTATGTATGTATGTATGTATGTATATAATGTATGTAATGTATGGATGTATGTATGTATGTATGTATGTATGTATGTATGTCTGTATGTATGTATGTATCCTTGCACTTCCCCTTTGCTCCCCAGTATTTCCCGCAAAAAACACTGTTTTTCCAGCGTTTTCGCAAAGTTGATGTCCAAAAACACAGAGTTTTTCCAGATTTTCGGCAAAAGGATGCAGGAAGCCCAAGCCAGCAAAAAAGCCGGCAGGGGGAATCGAGCCTGGGACCCCTGTTTTGCGACACCGAGTCCCCGAAGACTACGTTTAGTGGAACGTCATCAAATTGCCGCGCGGTCCTTGGGGGGGGCCCCCCCCCGCGTATCAGACGTCGGGTGGGGGGGGGGTTAGGGGGGGGGGGGTTATCCTCTATCCTCTCTTAGGTGCCCGACACGCCGAGCAATGTCAGCGGATATTTTTTATATACATATTAATACGAAAACACATATATATATATATATACAGTTGCAGGTTAGTTAATTTGGCTAAATGGCTAGCAATTTGGTCCGAATCACCTTCCCGAAGCCAATGGCTAGACCTGTGGCTTGGGGTAGGTGTCCCGTTAAAGTCAACTAGCGCAAAAAGGGACACCGAGGCCCATGTTGGAGTTTCCCCTCCCGATTGAGACGAGAACCTTTTGTGGAGAATGGTCACGGGAAGCGGCCGCATCCCTTCCGCCGGGGTATGGGGGGGGGGGGGGCTATCCTTGGAGCCCAAGCAGAATCCCGCAAGGCCTTAAGGGTCAAGTAGCCCCGCCTTTGGCAAGCGCCAGGCTTGAACCGGCTTGACTTGGCCAGAATCAGCAGTAAAGGAAGTCTGACAAGCATTGTAAAGGCCTATGCGAGTCGTGACCATGACCTGGCTCATCCCTAAGGATATCTTCCAGAACGGCGTGAGCTGCCAGCGCATGCTGTGGCAGTGCGACCGCCAGCACTACTGGTTTTTGAAATATTTGCACCTTGGCTGTGGCGGCCGCACGTTTCTGGATCTTTTCGAGGAAAAACATCTTAGACTTTGGCGTCAACGCCGTGGGGAGGTTCTCATTTGTTGGGAAACATGGGTGATTTGTTTCGGGGACTTTCCCAAATGGTGAAATCCTGTTCAGTTTCCTGAACGAAAACACCCACAGGGTCCAGCAGGCTTGGATCTACACTGTGATAGCTCTCAATGAGTATCAGGGGTCTGCTGAGTTTGTCGTTTTTTGAGGCCGGTTGTTCCTTTCAGACCACATGTGTTTAAGGCTTGAACCCCCATTCGCACAGAAATCAAGAAGGGATTGGGGAAGGCAGGAATGGGAAGAGAAGCCCAACGCAAGGAAGATCCCAAACCCTTCATTGATTTGTTCTCACCCGGTTAAGGGTTCGACTCGTCTTTGGCTCCCCAAGAAAGGGTTCGATTCCTGCTTTCCTTTTGCCTCTCAAGGTGATTCAACTGGTTATCTTCTACCCTTGAGAACTCTTCCACAAGGAGGCGCAACAAACAAAACAAGGGAGTCCATGCTGTCCTTATTGTTATGGCCACGGAGGTCTGGGTTTTGGACACTATGAGACTTTCCATTTGCACTTCAAACGTTACACCCAAAAATATGGACAGCGGGTTCCTGTGCGCTTCTATGTTGGTGGGTGGATTATGGTGGATGTCTTGCTTATGCTGGAAGACTAGATATGCTGGAAGACTAGATGACCCAGCAGCATTCTGAATGCGACTTGTTGTTTCTCGCACATCGTTAAGGCCGCACCCCAGCATGTGCGGCCTTTCCACCATTTACCCCTTTTGTAAGACGAACTCATTCAAGGTATCCTCATTTTTGGATGGGTACATCTTTCCCTGCCACGCTGCCATACTACTGTGCAATGCTCATTTGTGCCTATGACTGAGGCAGCCCTTGATCCACGATCAGGAAATGAAGCACTATGAGATGCGCAAGAAGGGCGGCATAGTACAGGGATACGTGCAGCAGCTGGTGAATGTGTTCCTTGGACATGAGATGGTTCAGGCAGGTTGTTACCACTTTTGTTGATTTGGTGCAATTCGTAGTTTGATGCTTTGAACATGAATCTGCTTTGTGCTGGGAACCTAATGTGTAAGGTGTTTACGGACGCTCGGCATTGCTCTTGCAAAGGAAACATCAGCCGCAATGAGACGTGTCGCGCGCTGGTTGCACCTGAGTCCTGTTAGGTACAATGCAAAGCGTTCTTGCTCAATCCATGCCGAAATCGTCTGAACACGGCAACTCTGCCCGTTTTTCGCACCCCTTGGTTCCCTAGTTGCCAACCCACCTTACAACAGATACATATAATGAGGGCATGAACAATAGCAAGCCTGTTCGATGTGAGTGGGTTAGCCCCAAAAAAACTGAGAGCTGCGGACTCAGGTTTGTGGCGGTGCACATCGTTCTCTTGGCCACACGTCGGCAAGACGATTCAGTTCAGGCACTGAGCATGTTGGGTCCACTCCATGTTCGGTCAAAACATGCAGTTCACAGCCAATTTGGGGTTCGAATAGAACCACCGAATGTTAAAGAACAATTGAGGGACTCACGGATGTTCCTATGCCAGTTCCAGGCAACCGCGTATTTGATAGTGTCTTTATGTTAGTGATAACTTCGGATCAACTAATCAGAAGGATTGTACCAATGAGGGGACGACAAAAGCAATACTTGGAGTTTACTTCAAGCAACGAACGGGAATGTTCGGTGCGCCCCCTAGAAAATCAACAGCAATAGGAAGCAAACACATTTGTTCCGCAAAAGTGGGATTCTGATGGACAAAGCGGGAAACGAGGAGACCTGAGGCCTGGCTGGCAGTAAAGGGTGGCATCACCGTGGCAGAGTTCACTGGCTTCGTGTCGCTGCTGTCCCACGGCTGAACGAGTCGGGAAAGGAAGCCATGTGTTCCCAAAGGAGACAAGAAGGATGTGCAATCTTCAACAGATTTACTAGACTTGTTGGTTGTTGTTTTGTTTGTTTTTTGGGATATGTGTTGCCTAGGACCATGCCAAGGGTTCCAAGATTTGACAGACATTCAGTGGTGCCTGGTTTCCTTTTGTTGAAGATCGAAGGTGGGATATGTTGAACCAGCGCATGTTGCTCATGTTGGATAATGACAATGTGTTCGCTTTCGCTTTCGCTATGCAATATTGTTTATTGTTTTTCGCGTTTGCGACTTGGCGTTCTCAAAGTACAGTCTGTTTTCGTGGGAAATTGGGTATCGCGGCATCTCCACCTTCTTCCAAAATTGAAAGGTGGAATAATTCAATACTTTTAAGCAAGATGTTTTCCCACCCAAGTTCCATTCTACTTAAATGATAAATGTCCCAAGCCCCTGCTAAAAGGCTTGCCTTCTCTATATGACGCATCTTTTTTTTTGTGAAACGTTTATTTATTCAATCATATATTAATTCATTTATCTATTTACTTGGGGGTTCTTGTGTTGTTTGCTATTGCTTCACAGAAATCCGTCCATGGACAGCTCTGCAACTGCATGGTTTTCGACGCAGCTGCTCATCCCACACGAAAACGGTACGTCTTCGCTTGCCTGACACTGCCCACAGTTTGGTACCCAAACTGTGGTACATATCAATATTGATGATGAACCTAGCGTTCTATATCTGACACTTTCCATCTTTGCGCAGCTCCAGAAAATCACAAGCCCGCCTTCCGAGCTTCTCAGGGGCCCCGGCTTGGACCCTCGGGGAGGTGGCAACCTGGCAACCACTCGCGAATCTTGAATTGCCGCCTTCCAGAGCTGATCGTCCTGCCAACTCGCTTCGAAGTGCAAAAGGGCGTCGGCAAAATGAGGCCACAGGACTCGGAAACGCCGCCCATTGCCTATGCAGCATCCAAGCTGGCTATGGAGTGTTCTACTGAGAATGCAGTGGCAACGCGTATCTGACTCCTGCGATAACAGCAGTACAGCTGTAGGGCTCTCAGGTGACGTCTCACACATATGTTCAGGTCCCGGTTTGCAGGTCGTGTTCTGAACCATTTGTTTCAACCACCTGTAGGGGGTCCAGCTTTTATGTTCCAGTGTTCTGAAACCACAAGACTTAAGCTTATCTTGTTGCCTGTTTTCCTTTTGTCCTTTCCGCTTGAGTCTGGCCAAGAACCAAACTTGGTTCAACATTAGATTGGGGGTCTCCATGGTCTTGGGTGTAGACTACCTATGGCGCAGAATCTGAGCACCCCATGGGCCAAGATACTAGCCCATAAGATTCCAAAAGGAAACCAAAAGGGTATGGTTAATTTGTTTGAGATGTTGCCTGCCCTTTTTACGCATCAAGTTGCCCTTTTTGGTTGGCTTGTTTAGTTACTTTTGGAGACTTTGCGGAAGGTGGTTAGATTTTGAACATAGAATTGTAAATTTTAATCAAAACACATCTTCCGACGGCCAACGACCAAGTACAAGCTGAGAAAGGTGGCATATGGGTGTTTCACGGTGTGTCATTGTTTGAGGGCGCCATTTACCACCTTTTGAATTCCTTGAGGATACCTTCGTGGTTTCCCTTCAAACACATCCAAAAGGGTTCCATTCCAAAAACAAGCACAACAGGAAACCACCCATGTTGTTGCTTTTTGCGAGCTCCCTTATTTTGACATTTTGACAAACCCACAAGTCTTGTCAACATGGGGGACCCTCCAATCATGTGGTTCCCTTTTGGTTTTCCCTCTAAACCTCGAGAAGGTACCCTCAAAACACAATACCCTGCTCAAATTTGGTTGCATTCAGGTCCTCCCTGGCGGCGCCCTCCATCTCGTTGGGCTCCTTCTACCGAGTTGCCGCCCCTTGGACCACCGAAGGAGCGAAGGGAAGCGACCCGGCGGGTCCCTCGAGCTTTGGGAGGGAGGGAGGGGGGGAAGGTCGGGGCTGGTGGGGTAGCTGTGCCCTTTTAGATTGGAACCTCCCGTGAACTGGGCTGGGCGTTGCTAGCTGCTAGCAGGAAGGATGTAACCTACCTGGGGACACAGGTCAGGAAGAGGAACAGGAAGTCTCTAGCCAAAACCAGACTCTCCAGTTCACCTCTGCCTTTTGCGGGTCGGTTCGGCACCGAGGTCAGCTGCGCTGGCTCGGTGCAGCGCATTGATGAGTTTCTCGATCAGGAGCCGATGGGGTTCCAAGCCGACGTGCGAGAACTTGCTATGTAGGGTTTCAGCTCCATCCAAAGAATGGCAAGGAGCCAATTTAGATGCTGAAACTCAGGTAATTGTGTGATGGTGGTTTGAATCCCAGCACCTCAGGGTGCACAGTTCCCGTCCCTCCCAAATGGGCCATAGACAAATCAAAGTATTTGACCAAACCTCAAGATCCGCGGCGGCCTGTCCAAGTCTTACGAGGCTTGTTAGCCATAGGTGGCGAACTGGCGGTTGGGGCTGTCTTTGAAGGGCCCCTTGCCACGTCTCCCTCAGTACCTTGCCTTCCAGTTGTGGCAAATACGTCTATGCTGAATTGCTCTTTCGTTTGACCTTTAGCCTTTAACTTCTCTGAAGCGTGTTCCCTACACAAGCAACAAGTTTTCCACAACCCAGTTTTTGTGTATACGACTTTTAAACGCTTTGCGTACCTTGTTTGTATACATTGTTTACACCCTTGATATCCTCTTCATAAACCAAATCTTTGGTCCTTGAATTTGCGGTGCGAGGAGTCTTTGCCCTTGCTAAAGACCAAAGTGGTCCTGGGGCACAACGGCATGGACGACACCACCCATGGCTGGGAGAGGCCGAGGGACAGACCCGGACCGTAAGCCTTTAGGCCGATGACCGCGTAATTGTCCCTTTTCTTTTGGAACACTGTTACCTTCTCGCCGACCTTTTGTTTTCTGGGATACTTTCTTTCCATTTTCTCTCAGTTTGAGACAGACTTTTACACTGACCTCGTTGTCATCCTTATGCGCTTCTGTTGGTGTCATCTTTGTCGATGAGTGGACTGTGCTTTATTCAACGCTGGTGTTACGGCATCGGTCCATTTCACGGTGTTAAACCTGGCCCTATCGTGAATTGTGTTTTTCATTGTTATGGTGAAACACTCCACCGCCTTTGCGTGTGTACTCGTTATGATGTAGTTTATACCTTGACGGTTGAAGCAATCTAGAGCTTGGTTTTTAGTTGCTAACGCTTCATCGTCATAAGAATTCACGGACATTGGATAACTCATTTTGTTTCAATATTGCTCTCAATGCTCACCGTCTCTTTCATCCATTGGTGTTACATCCGCTAGTTTGCTAAATATGCCAATCACCATGTTCTGGACTTTAGACTTGTTGGAAGGACCATTGTTGGGCAAGCAAACAGTTCATGCTTTTTTGGGGGCCAACCAGTGATGCAAGATTCATTTGCATGGTTGTGGAAATGGCTGGCTCAGATTATATACCATGTGCGGTGATACCAAAGGAAATTTCTCTTGACAGCGAGAAGCAGTAGTCATGGGAGTCAACCATTTTGGTATTGCGTGCCGACATTGGCACCCTTTTAGGGGTTGGTCAAACATGGTAAAGGGCAACTCACGATTTTAGGCGCTTCCTGTGTGGAAACCGTGTAGATATTTGATGAGGGAATACGGGCTTTGCAGTCCCTGACCAGAAAGTCAAGCTTCCGAGATAAAGGAGCCTCTTTTTTTTTGCAGCCGCTCATTTCTCCAAATCCGACAACGTTTGGATTCCTGAAGTTGGTCCTTTATGAGGGCTAAGCTTTCAATACCCAGGTCCTTCGGCAAGGGAAGTCGCATCTCACAGAGAGACCTCCCACTGTCAGGCTCCATGATTGAAAATGGGCCAAAACAGAAAGCCAACCATTCAAAGCAGAAGCCTGTGTTTGTCAGGTTGCTTCTGTAGGCGAGAGGGAGGGTAGATTGCCCTTCGTAGAGCAGGCTTGTCTTGTTCTGCACGTCTTTGCTTCTCCCAAACCACAGACGTGTACGGTCGAGGTGGAATTTCGCCAGCTGATCTACTTCCCTTTGGGAGCAACCCTGTGCTTCTGAGGTTTTGGACCCAAATGGGCGAGTTCCTTCTGGCTTCTTTCAGGACTCGTGCACAAGGGCACTGTATACATGGTCTCCCGTCCGCGAAGGTGAACGACTTCAAGATTCCCATGTAAGCTCAATTTGTGCGAAGGTTACGGTTGCGCGTGATGGACATAGGACAATTAGAAAGTCCCTGGGTTTGCTTGACCTCCCAAGGTCACCTTGTTCGTCATCTTTTGATCGAGATTTGTTTGTCAATTCAAGGTTCTTAAAGGTTAGTCCCTTCTTAATCAATGTAAAATGATGAACAAATTCCATCATTTGACTAGCGAACCTGACTTTTGACACCTTTCCGATTTATGAACAGATGTTAAGAGGGGACATCTTCCACAGGCAGATATCGCCCATGCAGTACGGAGATGTCACCGTGAGTCTTTGCCTCAGTCCGCTGGGCGTTCGGAAGTCCAAACCAGGGGCTTTCAATGAGGTTTGTACCACCCACATGGGTCGTGGCCCTTTTTGCCTTGAGAACCGCAAAAAAGCCTCCGCAAAAAGCCAATTTGGTTGCTAGCTAGGAGGGTAAGGAATTAAAAGCTGGTGATATCCTAAGATCCCTGAACAAGTCCTGTCCTTTGAGCCTACACGCTAACGTGTCGAACAAAAGACAAATCCTTTTCGGGTTGTAGGTTACGCACACGGATTTTGGGCTAAAGCGTTAACCGTAGGTGGTCGCTTGTCTTGACTCTTAATAAGTATCCACTTGGGCCACCATTTTGGCTCAAGTGGACCTTTTGATCTTTGGTCTTGTGATTTGAAATCTTTCTTTCCCCTCTCTCAAAGCCATGTACGCCCCCGCCTACGCCGGTGCCGCGGTAGCAGAGGCTAAGGCTAAGGCAAAGGCCTCCATGGCAAAGTACCTGGCGAGCCTCGTGAAGAGGGAGGAAGAAGGATGGACCGTTTTGGCTGCCGAGGTCCCTCAGGCACCTGACGAGCGTTTCTTCTCAAGCGCAGATGAGCTGGAGCAGACCCCCCTTATCCCGGCCAAGCGGGGTCCACTGACGGTGGTAGCCACCACGGCCCGAAAGGGTCCCACCAAAGCTTACAGCATGCACCTACTGGACACAGATGGAGTCACAGTGGGGTGCGGCTGGAGGCCGGGACCGCTCAAGATTTCGGAGCTGGCGGAGCAGGACTTCCATGCTGAGCCGGAGGTGTACCTGGGATGCACCAGATGTTTCCGGCATTTCACCTTCCCGAACACGTGGATGGCCGTGGAGCCCTACGCAGCACAGGACTCCGAGGCCTCCATCTCCCTCTCCTCGGACACCGACGAGAGCGTGGACACTCAGTCGGACAAGGAGGCGGTCGTCCTCCCGGAAATTGAGTGAGGGGTGGATAGCGCAGGTGCCGAGGGCCCTGATACGCTTCCCCCCATGCCTCAAGGCAAGGAGGCAGGGGGAGAGGGCGCAGGTGCCCCCTGATACCCCTCCCCGGCCAGCGGGGAGCGCAGGTGCCGAAGGCCCTGACACGCAACCCCGAAGGGGCCTGGAGGGGGGAGACACAGGTGCCGAGGGCCCTGAGATGTTCTCACCCCTATCCCAGGGGGCCAGTGCCCCGGGGAACCAGGGGACACAGGTGCCGAGGGCCCTGAGATGTCCCCGGGCATCCCAGGCGGCGGATTGACGGGGTCCGCACCGGGTGGACCGCAGCCGGACCGCTGGACGCACAGGTGCCGAGGGCCCTGGAATGCGACAACGGGACCACACGGCATACGTGGAGGGAGGACCTCCCCAACGACCAGCTCGTCCGTTGGTATTGGCAGCTGATGCGATCCGTCCGTTGGGGATGGCATCAATTCTACTCCCATCAGCTGCTGAGGGGAGCTGCCCAGTGGAGCTGGGCAATCCTCCCATTTTGGCACTAATCCTTATGCGGCGTAAAGGATGCACCGTTTCGCGATTAAGGTACCAGTAGCACCAATGTGGTGCTTTGAAGAGTCTGGGCTAAAGCGTTAACCGTAGGTGGTCGCTTGTCTTGACTCTTAATAAGTATCCACTTGGGCCACCATTTTGGCTCAAGTGGACCTTTTGATCTTTTGTCTTGTGATTTGAAATCCCGCCCACCCACACCATGGCGGCGACACCAGATGAGTTGGTGGCACCACCACAGGAAGTTCCTGGAGTGTACACGGACGCAGTGGCTAAGCTCCACAAGACCGCCAGGAACCTCATGGTCCTCAAGGGCATCCCGTGGTTCATCCAAGCGACACTGTCGGATGAGGGCTTTGTCTCGATGGAGGACCTCGCGACCCGGTGGGACTCGCCCGACCGTGCAAGGGAGACGGCGCCGGGGGAGTTGGGCTTCGCCCCCAACAACCACCACTACACGGATGTGACCTCCCGGCTGATCGCGGCCCGCATGTTCCAGGTGGTTCACGCGGCTCAACGATCCATGGGAGTTGGGGCGCATGCAACAGCGGGACCCGGGCCACACACGCCCGGGGACACCGCCCCGAATCTCACGGTCTCGTGCGAACGGGGACAGCTGGAGAGGGTTTGGGAGGAGAAGACCAAGCTCACCAAACCCAAGCTGGCCCTTCAAGGAAGCGACCAGCTGGTGAAGCGCCAGTTCAAGCTCTGCGCAGGAGGCGAGATCGGTTTCATCCCCATGAAATACCTGGTAAGCGCACTCCCGGAGCCAGGAGAACGGCCATGGAAGACCACTAAGAAGAGCACGGTTGATGGCTGGGACCGGGAGGATGAGGTGGAAGAGCGGGGCGAGCCCAAAACTCGCCACCAGCTCGAGAGGATGCACGCGGTGTTCCGCAACACCCTCCTCATGTGCGTCCTCTCGTTCCCGCAGTTCGGCCAGTTCGACATCACCCGGGAGGACTTGGAGAGCTGGTACGAGTGGTTCTATGGTGAGGACATCGGGGGCCGTTTTCCCCCGCCAGAGGACCACGTCCTGGCAATTGCCGAACGCAACGCATGGCGAAAGATTCACGAGAAGATGCATGAGGGCAACACCCTCAAGGCGGCCATGCTGTCGGTCAGGCAGGACACATTGTTCTGGACACGTGAGGTCTACGAGAAGATCAAGCCCTTTTCCAGGGGCCGCCCATCAACCAGGACATCCATGGACTACGCACCACCTCAGAAGGGCAAGAACAAGTCCAAGGGCAAGGGGAAGCCCAAGGGCAAGCCTGGGAACAAAGGGAAGGGTAAGCCCCCCCACCTGAACAATCAGGCGTCCCGGGGCGGTAGCAAGCAGGCAGCCACCGACCCGAAAGGGAACCAGTTCTGTAACAACTGGATGCGCGGGCGCTGCCCGGGCAACTGCGGCCGCACCCACAAGTGCAACCTCATCCTGGCAATGGGCCGCATCTGCCTGGGGGACCACCTCCCGCAGGACTGCCCGGGTTGACTAGGGGCGCTGACCCCTACCCCCCGGGAGGCCTCAGGTGCCGAGGGCCCTGATAAGGCGCGGGGGGGCGAGAAGGGGCGCAAACGCTCCAAACAGGCACAGAAGCCCCCTCCTGCAGGTGCCGAGGGCCCTGACACAGGGGGGGGACAGGCCAGGTGGCGGCCATCCTCGGCGGAACAAGGATGGGGACGGCAGAACCAGCGTGCACAACGCCCTCGCCGTGATCAGAACAGCCACACAACCGGCACAACGGCGGCGCCTCAGTCCCGAGCCACAGGTGCCGAGGGCCCTGATAGGGCGGGGACGGGACGGTTCCCCGCACGTGCCGAGGGCCCTGACACGGGGGGCCGCACCCAGAAGGCCCGAGTGCCGGATGTCTGGCAGCACACCGCAACGCCAAGGGACACTCCCAGGAGGCAGCCGATCCCACTTCCGGCGCCCAACATCATCAAGCAGGACCCGGTGGTTTTCCACAAGAGCTCGGTGGGGCTGAATGAAGGGGGCCAACGCCTTTCAGCTACCCCCCTGACAAGTCCAACGGAGCCGTCACCGGGATTGGACATCTTCCCGTGGATGGAGAACATCCCTGAGCGTCTGGTACAGCGGTTGAGATGGACACAGGGCACATCGCCCAAAGTTCCATCCAGTGGGCCCATCATTGTCTTGCTCTATGCAGGCAAGGAGGACCCTACTTCCTTGGACAGCTGTCTTCATGCCAACTACCCACACCTTTCCAGCATGGTGGTGGCGGTAGACATCCTACGGTCTGGACCCAAGGGGGACCACGATATGCTCCAACCCGAGCTGTATGGAGCTCTTTGCACGGCAGCAAAGCAGGGCCGAGTGGTCTTCATTGGAGGAGGACCCAACTGCAGGACATGGTCCATCCTGCGCCACATACCAAAACCGGGGGCTCCCACGCCGGTGCGAGGGCGCACTCCAGACACACTCTGGGGCCTTCCACACCTGGACCAGGCCGCCCAGACTCAACTTGATGATGACAGCATCCTCATTCTGAGACAGATGTACATCACCAGCCTGGCAAGGGCCTCACGAGCGGCAGTTTCTCTGCCAGGGCCCAGGTCCTTCCTGGAACACCCGGAGGACCCAGTGGTGAGCAGCTCGCTGCCCAAAGCCAAGGAATGCTCATCCTTCTGGATCACAGAGGAGGGGCAGCTTTGGATGGAGGAGAACTCCTTGACAGCAATCTCCTTCGACCAGTGCCGCCTGGGCCAGCTGGTCAAGAAGGCCACTACGCTGGCCACGGATCTCCCGATCCAGGACTGGGATCAAATGCGGTGCACGCATCAGTCACATGTGGGCACCAACGAGTCCTCGACTCTTAGCAGATACCCTTGGGATATGATGGCAGGCCTGGCCAAAGCCATCGCTGTGTCACTCGCAGCGCCGGGGCACATCCGGATCCCCTCACAATTTCCGGGAAACCCCAAGGGACCACCTAAGGGGCGGGGGTCGGACCCCCCGGAAGGCCATTCCCCCCGGGGAAAACGGGGGCCCAGTCAAGGAGGCGGTCCCTCCTCATCACACCAGGGCTCAAAGCCCGGAGGCAAGAACGCCCCGAAGCCCCGCCTGCACGGGCAGTTCCACCCTGAGGCAGACACCGTAAGCCCTCATGGAACAATGAACCCAGACTTCCCATCTCCCATGCCCCCGATGGCCGGAGATGCGGAACAACTGGGGAAGGAGGCCTGGACCGCCCCGAATGCCTGCCCGCTTTCAGGGTCCCACACCTCACTGACCGGGTGGCGATTGTCCAATTGGGTTTCCGCTCACGCCCCCTGAGGGATGGGGGGGGAAAACCTTCCCCAGAATTTTCGGAGAATTTCCCCATTGGCTACTTTGGGCGCCCTGATCATGACCCTTACCCGGCCCTGGATTGACAAGGTCCGAATGTCCCTGGCATCAGGTGCCACCACACACCCCTTCCAGGAAGCCGACCTCGAGGAGCTGCGGGCTATCCTAGGACCGAGGCACCTCCATGAACGAT